AACATATATAATTCATTTATGATGCATATTTAGTTCATACTAAGTGCATAGTACTGATGCATATTTACTTCATACACAATGCATGCTAAGGGTCAACGGTCAATGTTGAAAATCAACGTCGGAAGTCAACGGTCAACGTCGGAAGTCAACGGTCAATGCCGGAGTCAACGTTCAACACCGAAGTCAATGGTCAATTGTCAAAATAATATTTAAATAATTAAAATAATAAAATAAAGAAATAAGTAATAAAAATAAAGAATTATTATTTAATTGAAGAGTTAATCTTAGCCACACATAATGTACCAATCTAATGGCTAGGAATGAGTCTCACATTCACACTTTAAATATGTGGACTCATTGGATCCAATCCCTATAATACACATCACAATACCATGGTAGATGATTTAAATTTCACCCGACCAAATTGACAATGATTTGAATTTGAATACACATATGCGTTTGACCAAATGTATGGATGATTTAAAATTGAGCCCATAAAAAATTATTTAAATTTGTTTGAACGCACCAGAAATTTTATGTACTTTTTATTTATAAATATATTGAAAGTTGTATTTAATGGTTGTTATATAAACTATTTTAATATATTTGCAATGAATAAAAATTTGAATGAATAATTTGTAATGTTATTCATAATGTTTGTGACTTATGAGAGACGAACACATAACTTCATACATATTTGCCATAGGGCAGCTTAATAATTTTTTAGACTTAACGTTGATTAAAAGAGGTAGAAAATAAAAAATAACACTATTATTTTTTAGACTTAAAAGGACAAGGCTGTGAAAATAACTAATTTGATATCTTTATCTCGTGCATCGCATGGGGTACGTACTAGTACATCTAAAAGCACAAATGTTAAATTGAAAAAAGAAGCTTCTGGCCCGGATTAGAGGCATACAGAGGAGTCGAAGGTTTTATTCTACAACTCACTTGGTGGGGCTCGAATCCCAACTACGGGCCGAGTTGGAGGATGTTGTGAGGCAGGAGGAGCTTCTACTGGTCCAAAAGGCCACCCGGGACTGGTCCTTCTTGGGAGATAGGAACACATCCTATTACCATAGACAGCTTAAGCATAGAAGGCGTTGTGGCTGAATTACTGAGCTAACGGATGTTGAGGGGCACCATATTACTGATCAGATGGCCTTACGTGATCTAGCTACCGAATATTTCAAGAACATATTTACCGGGCAGATGACTACAGTTGCGCACGATAATACACCCAATCACTTCCCGGAGTGCGATGTCGTCGTCTGACACGAGATGAATAATGATATTTCGGATGAAGAAGTTTCCGCTGCCCTAAACCATATGGCACCGCTTAAAGCACTGGGAATGGACGGGCTCCAGGTGCTATTTTTCCAACGCCATTGGGAAATCGTGGGGCCCGCGGTGCGTACGTTTCTTAAAGACATGTGGCAAGCTAGCATTGTCCCCGAACATGTTAACCGAACTCTGCTAGTCTTGATTCCTAAAGTGGAGCACCCGACCTCTATCAAGCAGTTTCGACCATCAGCCTTTTGAATGTCATCTACAAACTGTTCACCAAAGTGTTGGTTAATCGGATGAAGACCACTCTTCCAACTTTGATCCATCCAGCGCAAGCTAGCTTTGTCCCTGGCCGGCAGATTACGGACAACATTGTAATCGCGCAAGAGCTTATCCATTCGATGCGCATTAAGCGGGGAGCATTAGGTTACATGGTGATCAAGGTGGATCTCGAAAAAGCCTATGATTATCATCGTTGGGACATCATTCAGGAAACCATTCTCCTTGTTGGCTACCTTGATAAATTTGTTTCAGCAGTTATGGCTTGCGTCCGCTCGGCCTCGATGAATGTGTTGTGGAATGGGACGATTGGGGAGGAATTTCGGCCCACTCGTGGCATTCGACAAGGGGATCCCATGTCCCCTTATCTCTTCGTTTTGTGCATGGAGAGGTTGGCGCAGATGATTAATGAGGTGGTTGCTCACCATGAATGGCGCTTGATATCCGTGGGACGTGGGGCTGTTCATGTCCCTTTTTTTATGTTTGCCGACGACCTTCTACTATTCTTGGAGGCCTCGGATGATCAGGTAACGGTTCTCGCACGCGTGCTTGAGGACTTCTATTCAAGGTCGGGACTTAAAGTGAGTACAGAGAAGACTCAAGTTCTTTTCTTGCAAACGTTGCTCATCAGAAACAAACTCGACTGGCCACGTCTCTAAGTTTCAACCTCACAGCCAACTTGGGAAGGTATTTGGGTGTACCGATTATTCACGGCCGTGTCACTAAGGAAACGTACACACATATACTGGAACGGTCAGAATCCCGCCTCACGGGATGGAGAATGAAATCCCTATCTTTAGCCGGATGAGTGACCCTCACGCAGTCTGTACTGACAACACTCCCTTATTATTGTTGGAACCCACGAGGATCTCGATATGCACAAATCACAGACAAACATT